ATGAGGAGCAATATAGCATTCCAAGCAAGGACCAGCGCTATGATCCAATCAGCTGACAAGGATCATGCTGAGGGTAGGGGTAGAAAGAACGACCTCATCAGCCTGCAGCTGCTCCTTTATTGACCCATCATTGACAGGGGCAGAAAAAGTGACTAAACTGTATAGCATAACTGCAGTAGAGAGAAAAGTTAGGTCACCAGGCTAGCAGAGATGTGTAAATCTCAGGACTGGATGAACAGAAATACAAATTCTTGGGCAGGTGAAACGTATCCTCTATATGTATTTCCTATGTGTATTTGCTGCTTGTCTGAGGACTCAACTTTATCAAAAGGGTAGATTTATTCTGAACCTATTGCACTTTTCCTGTCATTTCAATGCTTTACGTGGTCCCTGGGCTTTTGTCTGCAACTGCTTCTCTCCCATGCAAGTCAATGGGAGTGTAGAAGCAGCTTGAAGCAGAACAAAGTCAAAAGCGCCTGTCAATGAACTCAGACGCATCCCAACCTGATTTCAAATGCAACCAAAATACACTTGAAAATCAAGCTGTACTTGCCCAACAACAAAGCCCGTCCACAAAGGACCCCAGAATGCCGTCACTTAAATATGGTTGACTGGGGTCGGACCAGGGGCGGACTGACTATTCGAAAACTCGGGCACTGCCCGAGGGCCTGGGGGGTCAGTAGGGGGCCCCATGAAATGCCCTCTGGTACCTTTTATAGGCTTTTTTTGAGTGTGGGCAAGGACACAGGGGCCCCATGATCCCCTATTGCCCGGGGGCCCCATGAGTTGTCAGTCCGCCCCTGGGTCGGACTTTGCTGTTTGCACTGTTGGTGGTCTGGCTATAGCCTTGTACAGGATTAAAACACTTTCTCAGTTAAAATGATCAAGTTCTAGAGTTCCGGGTTAGCCCTGGTTCACACTGATGCAACTTATCGTGCTACTTGATGCGACTTGCGACACATAAAGCAAGAATATCACCAGCACACCGAGGATCACCAATATTGGTTCATTAACCTCCCTAGCGGTTTGAATATGTCAGTATTCCTGTGCTCAAATCGGTACTTTTTTTGCATGGAAATATGCCGTTTTTTTATTGTGTAGGCCTGTAATTTTTAGGAATAACTCACTGAAATCTGTCCGAACAAGAGTCTAGTAAACATCCCGGGTATGATACAATTTGAAACACAAAATCATAAATCATAATATAATAAATATTCATAAAAAATAATAATATAATAATAATAAATGTAATTCAATAATATAATCAAACCCAAAAACACTGAAATTTGAAATATAGCGCCAAGTTCGCACATCGCTGAGCAAAGTCGCAGAATCGTTTTCAGTGTCTGATGAGGAATTTCCCCCACGAATCATTATCACTCAATTCTGCAAGTGGTTCTGATTTACTATCGCTGTTCTCTAGCCGGTCTAAAACCGCTTTTGACCTAAAGGGACGCTTTTTGGACGCCATGGACGTTTCTCAGTTTCCAGGCAGAAAAAGAACAGTAAAAATGCAGGCAGGGCGCCGGACAAAGCACTCGGGACAAAATGTATGTGAAATGGGTTGATACAGTAATGGAATACTATGTGATTTTAGTGTATTTAGTGAATGTCACTTTTTGACATTTTTTAATTTCCCGCCGTTCTGTCCCCCGTACGTCCTGACCCTCGCAGGGAACGGAACCCAGAAGACAGATGCCGGCATCAGCCGCAGGAGATGGCCGGGGACACTGCAGGGGGGACATCGCGGGGAGCGCAGGACAAAGTAAGTGAAGAAGAGATCCCGGGGCAATGCTGCAGTGTATTCCCGAGTGTAGCTCGGGGTTACCGCTTGTGCTACTGAGACTTTACCCGAGCTACACACTCGGGAATACCGCCAGGGGTGTTAAAACTTTTGGAACAATATTGGTGATCCTCGGTGTGCTGGTGATCCTCCCTTGCTGATTCTGTTCCTTTCGCTGCAGCACCCACCCATTGCGTTTGGATCGTACACTTGCGTCACATAAAGTCACATGATAAGTCAAAAACATATTCATCACATACTCAAGTCGCAGTTGAAAAGACATTCTGCGCTGCTTTTCTGCATTTTTTTCTGCATTTTTGGTGCAACTACAGTGCTGCAATGTTAAAATCACAAAAGTGGCAAGGATTGTTTCAATCGATGTGACTTTGATGCGACAGTATTCGACTTCACAGGGTTTTTAGCCAAAGATGCATAGCCTCAAAGTTACATTGAAGTCAAATAAAAGTGCGATGCAAAGTCGCACAACTTTCAAGTCATGGCAGTGTGAACCGACCCTTAAACCGTCCCTTCGAATGTATTTTCAAAAGAAAAATGTTTTTAAATAGAGATATATAATAAGCAACACTGTATTCAAGAAAGCATCATTTTCTGTAACCTCTTCAGTCCTACATATAGAAATAGCTCAGAAAGGCAGAAACAATCTTTACGCGGAACATTTTGGTATGCCTCTGTGTTAATATTCTTTCTACATTTTTTATTTCAAACACTCGCATACAGGAATCATATAGAATCAAATGGTGATCAGTAAATTAAAACAATTAAAGGTTTCTCTGTTTCTCCTGTTCTCTTTCAGCTGTTTGTGTTTCTTAAAACAGGGGCAAGTCCTCCCATAGTTAACAAAACTAGATACTGCTTTGTTACTGGCCATCTCAGCTTTCAAAAAAATAGAGACGTCCAATCGTAAAAAAAAAAGTTCTTTCGGTAAGGTTAGGGAGACTGTTACTTAAGAGGCAACCCTCCAGCTGTTTCAAGAGACAAGTTTCTTCAGAGAAATGTAAATATTTACAGCTAAGCTTATTGCTGCATTTATTTCTCTTATTTATTAAATATAAAGCTATATTTTATGGCGGCTTTGGCTACAGCTAGAGATGAAAATTTTCTGGAAATTTTTAAGCCATGGGAAAAAAAAACCTTTTTTCTTTTGGAAAAAAAATTGGAATTTTTGAAAAATTGAAAAAAAAAAAATATCCAGGTCATTTTGTTACACTGGAAACGTGAAATGCAATGTAAACTGGAGAACTGTATTGAGAAGTACAGTGGTACTTGAATTGTATTCCAGGATTTGCTTGTCTTCAGCTGAGAAAACTTGAAATAATTTAATAATTTTTTTTTCGGAAAACTATTTTTATTATAATTTAAGACTTTACATAAGTCTCAGAAATCTTTCATTAAGGGTTTCATGCAGGGATGGACTGACACATCATGAGGCCCCCGGGCAAAAGGGGATCATGGGGCCCCTGTGTCCTTGCCCAAACTCAAAAAAAGCCTATAAAAAAAAAGGTACCAGGGGCATCTCATGGGGCCCCCTACTGATCCCGGGCCCTCGGGCAGTGCCCGAGTTTCCAAATGGTCAGTCCGCCCCTGGTTATATGTTATATACTGCAGTTTGAATACCATGTCATAGATACAATATTTATTATTGTAAAAGAACATATTCCCCACATCATTTTTTTTTTTAATTTTAAAAATTACTTTGAAAAAAAAAGAATCGGAAAAAAACTTGCTTTTTTCCAAATTTTTCCGTTTTTTATTCCAGGACCTTCCCATCTCTAGCTACAGCTTCCTACCTGCTCACTTTTTTTTATTTTACATCCAAAAATGCAATTTTGAGAAATGACAAGTTTCTGTGTAAATTAAGAAACAAATGCAAAAATTAAACAAAAAAAAACTATCAATGTTCATACAGTTACATCATATAACTGTATTTGTGTATATTGACAATTAAAAAGTATACTTGCGAAAAAACAGTATACATGCACATTATGCTAAATCTGCAATTCAATTGTTTTGCAATAAATAAATATCATAAAATACTGGAGAATATGCAGAAATAAATATTTTTTTTCTAACACATAACAGACTCCGTGTCCATCTAATATCGGACCGATACAGACTGTTTGTTTTATTAAAATTAATTAAAATGTGGCAAGCACATAAACTCAAAGCTTTATGGGACCAACAAATTCAGCAATCTTTCAAGGTCTTCTTTAAACATAATAATTAAAAAAAAAAAAAAAAAAAAATCACAAAATCTATTATTAATATTTATCCTGATTGTCCACAATCAGAAATAAATAGTTACCCTTATATATTAAGAGTCGTAAAAAAAAAATCAAAGCTGTTTCATTTAGAGATGAAAAGCTATTCCATACTAAGAAGCATATCCTTAACACGTGACATTCAACAAAACAATTTTGTAATGTCATGTTTTGTTTTTATTAATCTTTCCATTTATTTTTTTTTTCTACATGAGTACAACATTTACCAAATATCGCCGTTGGATGAACAGGTATTTCTTTCAAACTCTGCTCTCGGCGCCACGTGAAACCAGCAGGCCGAGAACGACATCCTTTTAAAACGTTTACAACAATTCATTAATGCAGGCAGAGAATGCCAAAAAATTCAATAATCTATATTTTAACAACTTTTTGTATGTAATAATTCTGACCAGCAGGGATTGGAAAAAAAAATGTTTCTGTGCATTAATTGGCGAGCCCATCCAAGGAACAACGGTTCTGTCAAGACTTTCCAGCCGCGATTCTTTTGCCTTCTCGGAGAAATAGGTGTGCTTCGTCTTCTTTATTTTTGTGCTCAAATTGTCGTAAGAAACAAGTCTCAATGTAGCTGACTTCGATGGAGAAAGCTGGTTTTTAAGTCATCAGCCAGTTTTTTCCGTCTTTTTTTTTTTTCATTTTTTTTTTTTTGTGAAGAAAACCTCCAAGCAAGTTCGGCCGGTGCTCACAAAGTAAACCCCGGAAATGGCACACTAGAAAAGGTATGAGGCAGTAAGAATGAAAGAGGCTCCATTGTGTAAGGCCATCTTTGTAATCCTTGAAGTCTTTCCTTACTGGAAAAGCCGGGATCCACAGTGAGAAATACAAAAGTCTGTTGCCAGTCCGATCAATGGACTTGGGATCCCAGAATCTTTTTAGCCCTCGTGAAAACTAAAAAGAAAACACGAACGTTCCAGATCTTGTCATACCCATTCTTGCACCGGCCGTTTGTAATAGGTCACGTTTTGTTGCACCCCCTTGTTCTTAAACTGGAAAATAGTATATACCAAGACCAAGATGCACAGGGACAAGATACAGGGGATGACCACCGCTATGGCGTTGACGGTGCTGGGAACGTCATTTATTGTCACCATAATATCCACATCGTCGTGCGGTAGGTGGCGGTCTTTGCTGTTGTCCACTTCTTTTTGGTTGCAGCCCATCCAGTCTTTGACAATCGACCTCGGGTAACCCAATTCCACTAAAAGCTTTTGATTATCGAACTTCCAGTATTCCTTTCCTTTGTAGAAATATGTGTAAGCTGTGAAGGACAAAGCGTTTAGGATTATGCGGTGCATGAAAGCCCAAATCCAGGCAATTTTATACATTTTAATAATATTATTAAAATAAACTTCTTTCAGTTTTGCTTCAATGCTCGGCTTAAAGTGGTTATAAACCTCAGACATGAAATATGAACAAAGCACATCCCTTTATAGTGTGTGCTTGTCTCAACCCAGGGCACTAAGTGTCATTTCTGTCTGCTGCTTCCTCCTTCTGCTATCAGTATGAATCACTTCTGACAAGTTTTCCTGACACCAAGAGAGAAATGGTGACAGGAGAGGGACCTTCAGCAGATCAACAACCTCGGTTCTGTTTCCAGTCTCTGACCGTCTCCTGTTCAATGCCTACAGTCTCTGACCGTCTCCTGTTCAATGCCTACAGTCTCTGACCGTCTCCTGTTCAATGCCTACAGTCTCTGACCGTCTCCTGTTCAATGCCTACAGTCTCTGACCGTCTCCTGTTCAATGCCTGACCGTCTCTGACCGTCTCCTGTTCAATGCCTACAGTCTCTGACCATCTCCTGTTCAATGCCTACAGTCTCTGACTGTCTCCTGTTCAATGCCTACAGTCTCTGACCGTCTCCCGGTCAATGCCTGCAGTCTCTGACAATCTCCTGTTCAATGCCTGCAGTCTCTGACCATCTCCTGTTCAAAGCCTGCAGTCTCTGACCATCTCCATTTCTTCATGTGAAAAATGTAGTCACTGCTGCTTAGAAGAATGAGTTTTCTTTCTTCTTGCGAAGTCTGCTGGACATAGTGGGCCATACAAGGCCTCATGCACACAGGGCCTTTCTACAGCAGCTGTTTTGGGCATCAGCTGTTTTTTTTTTTCTACAGGCAGTACACTCCCCAGCATTTAATCCTATGCGTCCATGCACACACAGGCATTTCTCAGTGGTTTTTGGCAGGGGCATTTTCAGACTGGAAAAAAGCCTCAGAACTACTGCGTTTGAAGAGGAGTTTTTTTTAGCTGTAAAAGCACTCTAATGCTGCAAAACGCTGTAAAATGTGGCTATCCAACGTTTGAGTGTTTTTGAGCCTCAAGATTTTGTGAGAGTATAGTTTTGATCAAAAATGGTAAAAAACGCAAAAGCTGAAAAACGCTAATCCAAAATGCTAAAAACCGTGACAATACTTGTGTGTTTAACACGACATTCTACAGCTAGTGCTACTGGTGTTTTTATATGGCCAGTGTGTATGAGGCCGAAATGTTACATATCAGAGGGTCTTCAACCACAAAACATCATTGACCTGTAGATCAACCTTCTTAGGTAAGTTCCTTATGCCATGAGAACGTTAATCTATGTTCCAGCAGGGAACCAGGTCTCTGACAACTGCAGGGGGCCCCCCAATTACTGATCAGGAACCAATCAGAAGGGTTCCTGATCACATGATCATAATGGCAGCCAATCATAGTAATCACCTGTAAGCTGGAGAAGTCTTTTTATGAACAAACATCTCCAGCCTACATATGACACAATGCCTCCAGTCTCTGACCATCTCCTTTTCAATGCCTACAGTCTCTGACCATCTCCTGTTCAATGCCTGCAGTCTCTGACCGTCTCCTGTTCAATGCCTGCAGTCTCTGACCGTCTCCTGTTCAATGCATGCAGTCTCTGACCGTCTCCTGTTCAATGCATGCAGTCTCTGACCGTCTCCTGTTCAATGCCTGCAGCATCTCTCTGACCGTCTCCTGTTCAATGCCTTCAGTCTCTGACCATCTCCTGTTCAATGCCTACAGTCTCTGACCGTCTGCTGTTCAATGCCTGCAGTCTCTGACCGTCTCCTGTTCAATGCCTGCAGTCTCTGACCGTCTCCTGTTCAATGCCTGCAGTCTCTGACCGTCTCCTGTTCAATGCCTGCAGTCTCTGACCGTCTCCTGTTCAATGCCTGCAGTCTCTGACCATCTCCTGTCCAGTGCCTGCAGTCTGACCGTCTCCTGTCCAATGCCTGCTGTCTGACCGTCTTCTGTCTAATGCCTGCAGTCTGATCTCCCAGTGTCTGACCGTCTTCTGTTTAATGCCTGCAGTCTGACCATCTCCTGTTCAATGCCTGCAGTCTCTGACCATCTCCTGTTCATTGCCTGCAGTCTCTGACCGTCTCCTGTTCAATGCCTGCAGTCTCTGACCATCTCCTGTTCAATGCCTGCAGTCTTTGACCATCTCCTGTTCAATACCTGCATTCTCTGACCATCTCCCGTTCAATGCCTACAGTCTCTGACCATCTCCTGTTCAATGCCTGCAGTCTGACCGTCTCCTGTTCAATGCCTACAGTCTCTGACCGTCTCCTGTTCAATGCCTGCAGTCTCTGACCATCTCCTGTTCAATGCCTGCAGTCTCTGACCATCTCTTGTACCATATCTGTAGCCTCAGACCATCTCAGTTCCACTCAAGGCCCACCACATCCAGTACGTTGGCCACCAATGATTTCAAATATCACCACAGTAAAATCTCTACTTACTTCCTTCTTTGCTCACAAAGGCTCCTTGTGGTGCTTCTGGGATTCCTTTCCAAACCGTTATAGATTTTGGGTATCCGGGATCGGCCGTTTTCTTTTCTTCGTTGTATCTCCAGTAGCGGTCCCCCTTGAAGAAGTAGGTCTTGCCAACCGACTCCCATCGCAGAGCTGTGTCGATTCCTTCCCGCGGCAGACAACTTCCCAACTCTACCAAGCTGTGTGGATAACCTGGCTCTGCCGTGACTTCCTTAAAAACCCAATATTTGTCTCCTATGATAAACAGAGAAAATGTTTTCACAAAGCATTTCTACGTAACATTTCCCACCTCCTGTTCGTTCACACGGGCAACAAGTGTGCCATTTAGTTGATAGTAGGGTTGGTCTTGAACTTCGAATCGAACATCAGCCGTTCATGTGTTCGCCCCCCACGCCCCACAATGCACTGCACCCTGAGACTGCATTGTGATTAGCCAAAGCCATGCACCTGGTCTAGTGCAATGCTTTGGCCAATCAGGTTTAGGAGGGTGTCTATGGGAAGGTTGGACCATTCTTCCAGAAGCACATTTGTCAGGTCAGGCACTGATGTCGGGGGAGGATGCCTGGCTCACAGTCTCCGCTCTAATTCATCCCCAAAGGTGTTCTATGGGGTTGAGGTCAGGACTCTGTGCAGGACAGTCAAGTTCCTCCACCCCAAACTGGCTCCTCCATGTCTTTATGGACTTTTGCTTTGTGCACTGGTGCGCAATCATGTTGGAACAGGAAGGGGCCATCCCCAAACTCTTCCCACAAAGTTGGGAGCATGAAATTGTCCAAAATGTCTTGGTATGCTGATGTCTTAAGAGTTCCCTTCACTGGAACTAGGGGGCCAAGTCCAACCCCTGAAAAACAACTCAACCATAATCCCCCCTCCACTAAACTTTACACTTGGCACAATGCGGTCAGGCAAGTACCGTTCTCCTGGCAACCACCAAACACAGACACGTCCATTGGATTGCCAGACAGAGAAGTGTGATTGGTCACTCCAGAGAACACGTCTCCACTGCTCTAGAGTCCAGTGGCGGTGTGCTTTACACCTCTGCATCTGCCGCTTATTACACAGGTGACCCCCTATCACGGGACCACGCTTGGAGTCACTGAGCTCCTGAGAGCGACCCATTCTTTCACAAATGTTTGTAGAAGCAGTCTGCATGCCTAGGGGATGATTGTATACACCTGTGTCCATGGAGGGGATTGGAACAGCTGAATCACATGATTTGGAGGGGGGGCCTAATACTTTTGGCAATATAGTGTATGTTTTTATATGTATTTGTATGTCTGCCTGGAGCTACACTTCACCAATTGTACAGATAGTATGTAGAAGCACAGGGACACTCTGATACACATTCTAAGGGAAAAAAACAAAAGAATACCTTTGAAGAAGACAAATTTGCCATCTGACCGTTCATACGCTGCATCTATTTTAGGTGGCAACCCTTTCCAGAACTGTTCAATCTGCATTGGGTATCCTTCCTGGACTTTATTATTACGAAGCCGCCAGAACCACCGATCCTGAAAAAGGAAAGTAAAATGTCTTAAAGAATGTGAAAACCCAACATTTCCTATCCCTGATATGTGCCTGTTGTACCATGTACATGTATGAAAAAGTATCCTGCTCTCTTTGTATTGCATACTTTGTGTGAAATCCCTGGTGTTCCTCCCAGTCCTTCTGCTTTCCTATTAAAAAACTGACCACACTAGGCATGAGAGCACAGCATGGTCAGTTTTCTGGCAGGCTCAGCCTGCTCTCCTCCAATGATCAGACTTGTCCTGAAACGGGCGTCCCCCCCCCTTCCCTAACACAGACACACACACAGTCATTCACTGGGAACACCAGTGTGCTGCTGTTTCTTCTCCCCCAGCTCTAATGCAGCTGAGAACAGAGGGAATGTGATCACTTATACGAAAAGGGAAAAAAAGTATTTCTAATTTCTATGTACAAATGTTTTACCTTTCATTTCAGTTTTAAACAGAATGGGTTGTTTTATAAGGTGGGTGATTCACATATACTTTAACCGCTTGCCCACGGCCCTATAGTAGAAGTACTGCTACAGGGCGGCAGGGCTGCGTATATATACGTGATCTGCATTTCCAGGTAGGGGGTGTGCGGGCACCCTACCCACGCTGCCATTGGCGGCTACGGATGTCAATCACTGGGTCCCAGCCAGATATTCCCCGCTGGAACCCGACGATCGCCAAGTAAAACTGACAGGGGAGAGACCTGTGTGTAAACAGCACAGGTCTCTCTCCTGCCAGCAAGCACATGCTGCTGTGTATTTCTCTGCACAGCAGAGAAATACACAGCAGCATATTTCCCTAGTAAAACACACACAGCACACAGTTAACCCTTTGATCACCCCAGATGTTAACCCCTTCCTGCCCAGTGTCATTAGTACAGCGTCAGTGCTTTTTATTAGCACTGGTCACTGTATTAGTGTCACTGGGGATGTCAGTGGCAGTTAGTTCCCCCCAGTGTCAGAATGCCCCCGCCGCAGTTCCGCAATAAGTCGCTGATCGCTGACATTACTAGTATAAAAAAATAAAAACTAAAATCGTAATATATATACCGCCATTTGTAAACGCTATAACTTTCACGTAAACCAATTCATTTACACGTATTGGGTATTTTTGTAGCAAAGACATGGAGCAGAATACATTTTGGCCTAAATTTATGACGAAATTTGATTTTTAACATTTTTTTACTGGACATGTTTAATAGCAAAAAGTCAAAATTGTCGGTCTTGTCGGCGCAACAAAATAAAAAAACGCACAGGCGATCAAATACCACCAAAAGAAAGCTCATTTCGTGGGAAAAAAGGACGTAAATTTAATTTGGGTGCAGCATTGCATGACCGCGCAATTGTCAGTAAAAGTAATGCAGTGCCGTAACGCAAAAAATGGCCTGGTCAGGAGGGGGGTAAATCCTCTGGAGGGTAAGTGGTTAAGTAAGCTCTCTTCAGTGTAATGCTGAGAATCTAAACTTGTAAATATAAGAGGTGACTCAGAGACTTCTGGAGCCAGGCCCACGGACACTAGAGAGTAGGATGTTCTTGGCACTGACACCGATACACCTCCTATGTGTAATTACTAAGGGAAAGAGCAGCCTTACAATACCAGATGAATAGCAGCGCTGTAATTATATCATTATGCAAATATATTCTAATAACTTGCTTTCCATGAGCTCCATGAGTAACTGTTCGGGTGGTATGAGACGCAATTATGTAATGTGAAACATTCGAGACGGCAATACCTTAAAGACAAACATCTCGCCTCTGAACAAAGCCACGGTATTAAAGTTCCCATCACATATATTCGGCCTGTTGCCTGGGTGGGCAGGCTTTTCTCCAGATGGGGGGCGGGGTCTTGGCTGCCTCTCGTGCTTTCTTTCGGACGTCGACTGTATCCTGCGTGGTGGAAGTGTAGGCAGCGGTCGAGTAGGCTCTAGTGTTTCCGCAGGGGGACCTTGAAAAAAAAAATATAAAATGTAAAATATAGTATGGAGGAAGGCTTTGAATTTCATTGTAGGAGGGGTTTCCCCATCGATTCTGCAACATCCAACGCGTTTCGTCAGTTGTCCCAGTAGCTACTGGACTCAAAGCTATAATATAAACAGTGTGTGTCAGTGTCTTCGAACCCACCACTGCTGAACACAGACACATACTTACTATTTATCCTCCTGTTTCTGACTGATTTAAAATGTAAAATATAGTATGGAGGAAGGCTTTGAATTTCATTGTAGGAGGGGTTTCCCCATCGGATGTGCAATCATTTTTTATAGACTATGGAAAGATTGCAACCCCCTGTCAAGTTTGTGCTTGCTATGATTGGCCCAGAAAAAGTCCAAAAATGTAATTTACTAAATACATCAAATGACTCCAACGCGTTTCGTTAGTTGTCCCAGTAGCTACTGGACTCAAAGCTATAATATATAAAGTGTGTGTTAATGTCTTCGAATCCACCCCTGCTTAACACAGACACATACTTACTATTTATCCTCCTGTTTATGACTGATTTAAAATTTAAAATATAGTATGGAGGAAGGCTTTGAATTCTATTGTAGGAGGGGTTTCCCCATCGGATGTGCAATATTTTTTTTTTTATAGACTATGGAAAGATTGCAACCCCTGTCAAGTTTTTTCTTGCTATTTATGGCCCAGAAAAAGTAAAAAACATTTAATTTACTAAGTACATCAAATGACCCCAACGCATTTCGTCAAATGTCACAGTAGCTACTGGACTCAAAGCTATAATATATAAAGTGTGTGTCAGTGTCTTCGAACCCACCGCTGCTTAACACAGACACATACTATTTATCCTCCTGTTTATGACTGATTTACCCAAGCTCTCAGCTCTGAGACAATTGCTATACCTGACCCAGGCGAAGTTCCAAGCAAATGCGTTAGAGTCCAGAAATGTAATTTACTAAATACATCAAATGACTTACAATGCGTTTCGTCATTGCCCCAGTAGCTACTGGACTCAAATAAGTGTGTTCCTGTGTCCTAAAACCCACATCTGCTTAACAAAGACACATACTTACTGTTTATCCTTTATCCTCCCGCTTCTGACTGATTTACCCAGGCTCTACTCTGAGACTTAATTCCTTAACCCTAATGAAGGGGGGCTGTTTGGCCCCAAACATGTTGGCTGTCATTTGCTCTTTATTGGCCATTTTTGGAATCAATAAATTATATTTCAGGACTCTCAACACATCTATTCGGTGGGTCTTCTGGCTCAACTATATATAGACTTCTCAAGCCTGGTGATCCCCCTATTTTCGAGGGAGGTCTCACAAATTGTAGAGAACTTCCAAACCTAGGCTATCCAGACAAAGTAAAGATCTATCACCTACCACCTAAAGATTTGTATCCAGCACCTCCTACTTCTACTTTTATTTTATTTTTCTGTCCTAGATAGGTATATTAACCTTCTTTATTTGTACTGATGACTATGTCACCAAGACAGAAAGTGATAGGACATCTAAAACTGTACAGTTGTTACTCATTTTCCAATGAAGACACTTATTCTAGTGACAGCGAAAAGGGCAATTTCCCTCATTTCGTAGAGATTTTCTTTCTTCTTCGGGACAGGGAGTCAAGAAAAGGTTTCAGATATACATTCACTTAAAGTGTTAGTCCACCCAGAATTTATATTTTAGTTTTTGCTGGTAAACGTTTGGAGCCCAATATTTGTGACTTCGTACCAACCTTCTCTCTGTACATGTTTAAACAACATGAGAGTTTATTTTATCTCCATCTTTCTTCTATCTGTATTCTATTGATGAAACCTCTGCACTGAGATCCCAGGTTTGCACACATTATGAGGGGCTCCAAACATTCCTGTGCTGAGTTACTGAGACCTCCTGTGCCCATTATGAGAGGCTCCCATGTCTGCATACCTTCTGTGCCCATCATGAGGAGCTCCCAACATTTCTGTGGTGGGTTCCCAGGTCTGCAAATGTTATGTGCCCATCATGAGGGGCTCCCAACATTCCTGTGGTGGGTTCCCAGGTCTGCAAACATTATGTGCCCATCATGAGGGGCTCCCAACATTCCTCTGGTTGGTTCTAGAGTCTGCACACCTTCTGTGGCCATCAAGAGGGGCTCCCAACATTCCTGTGGTGAGTTCCCTGGGCTACACGCCTTCTGGACTTATTATGAAGGGCTCCCAACATTCCTGTGGTGAGTTCCCTGGGCTACACGCCTTCTGGACTTATTATGAAGGGCTCCCAACATTCCTGTGGTGAGTTCCCGGGTCTGCACCTCTTCTCTGCCCATTACAAGGGGCTCCCAACATTCCTGTGGTGAGTTCATGGGTCTGCACACCTTCTGTGCCCATTATGAGGGGCTCTCAACATTCTTGTGGTGAGTTATCAAGTCTGCACAGCATCTGTGCCTATCATGTAGGGCTCCCAACATTCCTGTGGTGGCTTCCTGGGTGTGCACTTCTTTGGTGCCCATCAGGAGGGGCTCTCAACATTCCTGTACTGAGTTACGGGATCTGCACACCTTCTGTACCCATTATGGGGGCCTCCCACATTCCTGCTGGATGTTTATTTATTTTATATTATGAAAAATGAAACAAGAGGAGCTGGAAAGAACAAAAGGTGGGTTAGAACACCAACACCTCCCAGGAGGAAAGGAACAAGGTTGGGAATTCTGGGAAGATCTTTTTTTTTTTTTTTTGAGTAGCCAAAACATATAAGAAGTCAGGGACTATCACAGCTCACTGGGCTCCAACTGTATCTAAAATATCATTTTTGGCTGGAATGACCCTTTAATTTATTGATATTAGTTGTGCTGCATCACCAGAACGCCACCTTGGCCCAGGATAGGTGATGTCAGAGGATAGTAGCCCTGGCAAAGGTCTTGTATGTAAGACAAGACATTACAAGTCCCTTTCAATTCTCCAAACATAATCCATGCACATCCACTACTCCTTGGTCCTGTAATCTATTTTTCATTAAATTGTTTCAGTAAAGCACATTGTTCTATGTACAATTACAAATCCCTTAGTCCACAGTCCATCTCGGGAGTGAGCAAGAGGGGCGGCTATGCTTGTACATGGAGAATGAACGTAGCCACCCTCTAACAGGAAGTCAGATCACAGCAGCAAAAACAAAGGAATTTGGAGATTTGGAGGTAGCTGAGAGCAAAAGAAAGGACTTTTTTGAGTTAAGAATACAAACTTGAATAGAAATTCCAGAGTTTAGTGTCTTGTTAAGAGCTGTCAGTGCTGTGAATTTCCATTTCACTTTTCCTTTTTTCTGCCTATTTTCTGCAGAAACAAAACCCTGCCAGGACAATGTGTGTTGTCTTGTTCCTGATTAGTGAGTCAGACGGGTTGGTAGGGCTGGCTGCGTTGGCAGTCACGTTGGATTACATGCGAGGCATGCGGCTGTGTGTGCCCACCAATGCAACTGCTGAAAGTGCCAGGCTGCCCAAATCTAGAAGTACTGGGGACTAGGAAGCAGTGCTGCTCGCTAAAAAAACCTTTCTTCCCCAATATCAGTATTCCAAGTAGGCTTCATGTGCATTCAGCTATGGCATCCCTGAAGAACTATTACTCCCTATAAATTGCTGAACACGTCAATTACAAATACTATTATCATTGTTAGTATTGATCTTCTACAGCGCTGTACAATGTGGGGACCAGTGCCGGGACAAGGTCTTCTACAGCCCAGGGCCACCAGGCCAAACTGCACCCCCCCCCCCTCAAGAAGTATGAGCATTATGTGCCAGAGAATACCCCCCCCCAAAAAAAAATATAAGTGAGTGCTAATCTGAATGCCCTAATCATAAATACCCCCTCCCAGTACACAAATGCCCCCCCCCCCCCCCACACTGATATCCTCCTGCCATCACAAATCTTTGCTCCGACCATGTCACCTCTTCTAGAACCCCCCCCAAATCCCCCCTCCTAGCTCAAATCCTCTTCCCCCATCCCCCTTCCCAACAAAAATTCCCCCAAATCACCACTCCTAGCACACCCCCTCAAATTATCCCTCCTAAAACAACTCTTACCCCCTGGCACCCCACCCAAATTACCCCTCCCAACACATATTTATTTATTTCAGGTACTTATTTAGTGCCGTCAATTTACGCAGCACTTTACATACAGTGGGGATCGAAAGTTTGGGCACCCCAGCTAAAAATGTGTATTAATGTGCATAAAGAAGCCAAGGAAAGATGGAAAAATCTCCAAAAGGCATCAAATTACAGATTAGACATTTTTATAATATGTCAACAAAAGTTAGATTTTATTTCCATCATTTACACTTTCAAAATAACAGAAAACTAAAAAATGGCGTCTGCAAAAGTTTGGGCACCCTGCAGAATTTATAGCATGCACTGCCCCCCTTTGCAAAGCTGAGACCTGCCAGTGTCATGAATTGTTCTCAATCATCATCTGGGAAGACCAGGTGATGTCAATCTCAAAGGTTTTAAATGCCCAGACTCATCTGACCTTGCCCAACAATCAGCACCATGGGTTCTTCTAAGCAGTTGTCTAGAAAACTGAAACTGAAAATAGTTGACGCTCACAAAGCTGGAAAAGGCTATAAGAAGATAGCAAAGCGTTTTCAGATGTCAATATCCTCTGTTCGGAATGTAATTAAGAAATGGCAGTCATCAGGAACAGTGGAAGTTAAAGCAACATCTGGAAGACCAAGAAAAATATCAGACAGAACAGCTCGCAGGATTGTGAGAAAAACAATTCAAAACCCACGTTTGACTGCACGATCCCTCCAGAAAGATCTGGCAGACACTGGAGTTGTGGTACACTATTCCACTATAACGAGATACTTGTACAAATATGGTCTTCATGGAAGAGTCATCAGAAGAAAACCTCCTCTACGTCCTCACCACAAAAATCATCGTTTGAACTTTGCAAATGAACATATAGACAAGCCTGATGCATTTTGGAAACAAGTTCTGTGGACCGATGAGGTTAAAATTGAACTT